ACCAAACCTCACTATTTAAATAGTGATGATTTAAATAATGACGGTTAAAAGGGATGAAACACCACCCACCACGGGACAAATTCAGCCCAGTTCCTGATTCCTGCTTTTCCCTGGGGGCACTGAGCACCCACACCCAAAAGCAGCTGGTGCTCGTGGTGGGGATGCTGCTCAGGCTCAGGTTTTGCAGGAGAATAAGGATAATTGGGAATAAAAATGAAGAACTAGGTGGTGGGGAGGTGCCTTTGCCTTCCCTTTCCCACCTTACTCCTGTCAGGGGACAGGGATGGGGAGCACAGACACTGCCATGGGTTTCCTGAGTGAAACCCCATCCAGGGAACCACCCTTTGGAGCAGGGAAAGCCCTTGTGGTCGCCCACAACGGGATGTGGGACCAGGGAAGGGATGGGAGCCCCCCGGGGTGGCCGATCCAGGACAAGGCTGGATCACGTTTCCCTGAATTTTTCTGCAAGAGCATCATCTCCCTCCGACTCCTTCGGCACCAGTGAAGGTCCTGGCAAGTTTTAAGGAGCTGAGGGACAAACCTTCTCCCTTGGGTGACCCAGGTGTCACCCACTGGCTGCCAAAATCCAATTAATTTCCCTGGCTGTACCTCGAATGTCCTTGGGGAAAAGCTCAAATGCTCCCATGGGAAGTGCAGGAGATCAAACCACAGAGGGTCTCAGGTCTCCTCAGCACCCCCAGAGCTTTCACTGGGGCAAAGCAGGGAGAGTTCAAGAAATCTGGATGATATTCCCTGTGAATGCACTTAGCCACTCATCCCCAGGGACAAAGGCTGGCATTGTCCATCCGGCTGGTTGCCTTTGCCATAATTAAATGAAGGAGAACTCTGGATAGCCCAGGCTGGTCACAGGGATGTTGCCAGGAGGAATTGATGGCTGCAGGAAAATGGGATTGCTGGAATCAGATGGGCAAATGCTGAATCATCCGAAAGTCATCCAAAATTCCTCTCAGTGGGACAGAGGGACAATCAGAAGGGGCAATGTTATTGGGTGGTATTGATTTCCAGTTTGGAATTATATATCCTGGCAGGATGGCAACCGTCTTGTGGCGTCCAGGAGGGTGCTGGTGTCTTAAAGAATTGAAAAACTTCCATAGAAATCTCTTCTTTTCCCTCTTTTCTTCGTGCCTGGAAGGCTCAGCTGTTGCAGTGGTGCTGGGAAAAGCTTCCCTGCAGCTGGATCACTGTGGGGCTGGAGAGGAGCCGGTACCATCCCAGTTAACAGCAGCTTGGCTGCTTTGAACTGGGAGGAGGGAAGTGAAAAGGATCCACATGGAGCTGTCCTGCCCTCTGTCACACTCCTGGCTGCTGATTCCGTATTCCAGCACTGCTTTTAGGGCTGAACATCACAGGAATGGGCAAACCAGACTGTGGAAGTAATGAGTCCTGCCTCTGGCATTGCCACACGATGCCAACCATTCCCCATGGCATGGTGTGGTTGGATGGAGGATTTCAGGGAATGTGGCCAATCAGGAGGTGAATGGCTCAGCCACACTCGATTTTGTGGCTGTGGTGGGGGAGAAAAACTTGAGTTTTCCTTCTTTGTTTAAGATCAAAGCATGGGTGTCCACACAGAGCACCTGGGATTTCCTCCATCCTTCCTCCCTGGTTGTCACCTGCCAGAAAATCCCAGAACCCCTGAGGCTGGAAAAGCCCTCCCAGCCCATGGATCCCCCCTGGGCCCCATCCCCACCTTGGCCCCCAGCCCAGAGCACTGAGTGCCACGGCCAGGCCTTCCTGGGACACCTCCAGGGCTGGGCACTCCAAACCTCCCTGGGCAGCCCCTGCCAAGGCCTCCCCACCCTTTCCAGCAGGAAATTCCTCCTCAGCCCCAACCTGACCCTCCCCTGGCCCAGCCTGAGGCCGTTCCCTCTTGTCCCCTCTGTCCTCTTGAAGGCAAAGAGGAGACACATCTGACATCCATGTCTGACCTTGCTCTCCCCTCACCTTTGGGCTACGACTGGCTCCAGTTTGGGGGATAACGTGCCTGTGTCCCACCTCTGCTCCACCCCACCTGGGTGCCCAAGTGCCAGGCAAAGGCATCCCGGCCTCGCTGTCCTCCCCACGCCAGCCCCAACCTCCCTCTGGCACGGCTCTCACAGAGCCCTGACTGTTCCAGCTGCTCCATCCTCCCTCACCAAACAGCCTCTCCCTTCCTCTGCTGATATCCCTTGTTTTCCCAGATAAATCTCCGAGCACAGCCCAGCGCTTTGCTCCAGTCGTGGGGATCTCTGGAGGCTGTGACAGCGTCTGTTTAGGAGGGGTTTGTGCCGTGATGGGATGGAGACACATCCAGTTAGCCCCGGGGCTTTTGAGTGTGCTGAGATCAGGGTAGGACCTTTTTCCTGGGAAAACACCTCCCCATTTGAGGACTGCACTCTTTAAAAGGGCAGGAGGGTGAAGATCCCGAGCCAGGTGGGCGATGCTGGTCCAAAGGACCAAACTCGGGGTCAGGATTTTGCCTCGGTCGAGGGGGGGGCAAAACAACCTGGCTTTTTTCTGTCGGATCGGGAGATCTGTGGCACCGGGAGACGATAAATTCTGGAGGATTTCTGCCGGCTCCGGGTCAGCACAAGCCCCTCTCCGCAGCAGGAGCTGGGATTTGCTCGGAGCCTGCTCTGGTCTTGCAGCGTCGATGGAAGGGGAGGGATATTCGTCTGCCACAGCTTTAAATCCCTCCCACAGCGGCTTTCAAAGAGTTCTGTTTTCAAAGGCCCCCTCTGAGACTGAAATCAGCCCCGAGACCGAGTTTTCTGATGCTTGGCAGAGGGAGAAACGTGCTGTGGAATCGGATCCTGATTTTGCTTCAGTGGGAAACAGCGTTAGTTCAGTAAAAGTCGGGAGTTCTCATCACTCTCCAAGGACAAAGTAATGCGCTGCTTCTCCTTTAACTCCAATCCCCCTCTCACATTCCTCCCGTCGTCCTCTCCGGTGCCTCGGAGCCCATTAAATGCTTTACAGCCCTTTCTTTCCTGAAATCCTTCTTCAGCTTCCAGGTTTTGCTGCCCGCTCCTTCCATTGCTCCACTCCTTGATTTTTGGGGAGGTTTCTGTGAGCTCCCCCCTCTCCTTTCTCTCCCTCTCTCTGTCTCCTCTCCCTCTGCTCTCCTCCAGCTCCTCCCGAGCTCTGAGCTCCTCCGGGGCTTATGAGTGACTTAACTTGGGAATCTGACACTCCGGATCATCCCAATGTTGCCAGCTGTTTGTCCCTCTTGTTTCTAACTCCTGGCATTTCTGGTGGACCTGAAGCTCCCCTCAAGCTTGCAGAGTTTCCTGCCTTTCCGTTTCCCAGCCTTTTCCACATCCCTCCTGCTTGGCTGATCACATCCCTGTCCTTTTGTCTCCAACTGGCCCAACATGTTGGATGTGACCTCCCTCTGCATCCACTCAGCCCCAAAGCCACAGGCTTCAGTCCTTGGCGTGTGCCCAGAGATACTGCAATAACCCAGTAATGATAATGATGATAATGATAATAAACAGCTTCTCTGGGCAACCTGGGCCAGGGCCTGCCCACCCTCCCAGCCAGCAATTCCTTCCCATTATCCCATCTAACCCTGCCCTCTGGCACTGGGAAGCCATTCCCTGTGTCCTGTCCCTCCAGGCCTTGTCCCCAGTCCCTCTCCAGCTCTCCTGGAGCCCCTTCAGGCCCTGCAAGGGGCTCTCAGCTCTCCCTGGAGCCTTCTCCAGGGGAACCCCCCAGCTCTCCCAGCCTGGCTCCAGAGCAGAGGGGCTCCAGCCCTGGCAGCAGCTCCGGGGCCTCCTCTGGACTCTCTCCAGCAGCTCCACGTCCTCCTGCTGTTGTTCCCAGGGCTGGAGCAGCTCTGCAGGGGGGTCTCAGCTGAGGGGGCAGAGGGGCAGAATCCCCCCTGCCCTGCTGTGGGATCAGTGCAGGGCACGGGGGGGTTCTGGGCTGGGTCATGTCCAGCCTCTCACCCACCAACATTCCAAATCCTTCTCCCAGGGCTGCTCTCAAAAGAAATGATAATAATAAAAGGATGGGTTTGCATTCCTTAAGAGGCACGTTCCCAAAGAACTGGATTTAGAAAAGGCGGCTCGTTACTGCCTTGAGCCTGTGGCAGGGCTCTGTGGTTGGCAGACCTGGCAGGACAGCAAGTTCCAGGCTCCCTGTGCCAGGATGTTGCGGCTCCTCCTTTCCATGGGTTTTCCTGGCACACCCGGCCCAAGGAACCGCCTGGCTGACACTGGGAGGATGCAAAGCCTGATGAGTGATGGAGTTCAGAGAAGGAGCTGGGAAGGAGCAGCAGGAGCGGCTGAGGGAGCTGGGAAGGGTCTGGAGCAGCAGGAGGGGCTGAGGGAGCTGGGGGGGCTCATCCTGGAGCAAAGGAGGCTCAGGGGGGACCTTCTGGCTCTGCAAGTCCCTGCCAGGAGGGGGGAGCCGGGGGGGGGTCGGGCTCTGCTGCCAGGGAACAAGGGCCAGGCCAAGGGGAAACGGCCTCAGGCTGGGCCAGGGGAGGGTCAGGTTGGGGCTGAGGAGGAATTTGTTGCTGGAAAGGGTGGTGAGGCCTTGGCAGGGGCTGCCCAGGGAGGTTTGGAGTGCCCAGCCCTGGAGGTGTCCCAGGAAGGCCTGGCCGTGGCACTCAGTGCTCTGGGCTGGGGGACAAGGTGGGGATGGGGCCCAGGGTGGACTCGATGATCTTGGAGGGCTTTTCCAACAGCACCGATCCCGTGCCCAGAGGCTGAAACACCGAAAATCCACCAAAACGAGTAAACACCAACTAAACTTCTCCACCTGGACGGACGTTCAGTCACGGCCGGCAGCCCCGCGCAGGACTACAACTCCCATCGCGCCCCGCGCGGCGCCGCGAGAAGGTGTGTCCGCAGCTGCGCCGCGGGGCCTGCCGGGAGCTGTAGTCGTGGCGGGGCGGGGCGCGGGCGGCGGGACTGCAGTTCCCGTCGTGCAGCGCGGGGTGAGGGCGGCGGGGCGGGCCGGGCCGGGCCGGGGCGGAGCGGAGCCGGCGGCCCTTGGGGAGCCGGAGCCGGAGGAGGCGGCAGCAGCAGCGGCGGCGGCGATGTCGGTGCAGGTGGCGGTGGCCGCGCCCGCCGTGGAGCTGAAGGAGCTCGGCGGCCCCATGGACAAGGCGGCGGGGCCGCCGTGCGAGCCCGTGGGCGCTCCCGGCGCGGGGCACGGCGTGGCCGCTGCCGCCTGCCCCGTGCCGGGCGCCGAGCGGGACGCGGCCCCGGCCCCCTCCGCCGAGCGGCCTCCGGGCAGCGGCTGCCCCGGGCTGTCCGCGGCCGCGGGGCTGTCCTCGGCCGCCGCCAAGGCGCCGCAGGCTTCGGCCATGAAGAGGAGCGACCCGCACCACCCCCAGCACCGGCACCGCGACGGCGGCGGCGACAGCGGCGGCGCCGCGGCCGAGGCGCTCGTGAGCCCCGACGGCACCGTCACCGAGGCGCCGCGCACCGTCAAGAAGGTAACGGAGGGCGCTGACCGGGGGACACCCCCCGCGGAGGGCAGGGGGGGCCGGCCCGGTGCCGGGGGACGCGCCGGTGCCTCCCCCCGGGCGGGGACCGGCGACCGGCGCGGGGGTCCGCGCTGAGCCCCGAGGCGCTCCCGGGGTCCCGGGGGGATGTCCCTGTGGCCGTGCGGGTGCTCCGGTGCCGCGGCTGCGTTTGGGGGACACGTTCTCCCGTGGCTGGGGGTCCTGTCTGTGCCTTGGGCCGCCCCCCCGCCCACCGTGTCTGTGCTGCGGGTACGCGTGGGGTGACACTGGGTGCGTGTCCACCCCACTCCTGCACACCCGAGTGACACTGGGCGTGTGTCCACCCCACTCCTGCACACCTGGGTGACACTGAGTGCATTTACACCCCACTCCTGCACACCCGAGTGACACTGGATGCCTTTACACCCCACTCCTGGACACCCAGCTGACACTGGGTGCGTGTCCACCCCACTCCTGCACACCCAGGTGGCACTGGGTGCGTGTCCATCCTGCTTAGGTGACACTGAGTACATTTACACTCCACTCAGCTGATACTGGGTACATTCACACCCCGCTCTTGCACACTTGGGTGACACTGGGTGCATTTACACCCCACTCCTGCACAACTGGGTGACACTGGGTGCATTTACACCCCACTCCTGCACACCTGGGTGACACTGGGTGCGTGTCCACCCCACTCCTGCACACCTGGGTGACACTGGGTGCGTGTCCACCCCACTCCTGCACAACTGGGTGACACTGGGTGCGTGTCCACCCCACTCCTGCACACCTGAGTGACACTGGGTGCATTCACACCCCGCTCTTGCACACCTGGGTGACACTGGGTGCATTTACACCCCACTCCTGCACAGCTGGGTGACACTGGGTATATTCACACCCCACTCCTGCACAGCTGGATGACACTGGGTACATTTACACCCCACTCCTGCACAACTGGATGACACTGGGTGCATTTACACCCCACTCCTGCACAGCTGGATGACACTGGGTACATTTACACCCCAGTCCTGCACACCTGGGTGACACTGGGTGCATTCACACCCCGTTCTTGCACCCCCAGGCATGGGGATGTCTGTGGGCAATGCGGTATGTGAGCTGTGGGGTGTGTGTGGGTTCACTCCAGGTTCATGTCCCCAGGGTTATCTGCTCGCTTGGAAATATGGATAAGGCCCAGATAAAAACGTTCCGAGCGCTGCCGGTGACGTTGGCACGCGGGGCACGGCCAGGTGTGTCCAGGCTGGATGCTGGATATCCCTGTGCCTCGGGATGTAGGGCTGGGGACGTGATTGCACCCACCCCGGGGGGGTCCTTGGGGTGCCCCTTTCCCAGGAGTGCCCCTGTCCTGGCACTTCCCTGTCGAGGTGTACGGATGGCTGCCCTCTGGAATCACGTGGTGTCCCTGGTGGATCCGTGTTGGATGTGCACCTGTGGATATGGCAGGTACCCACTGTCCCCTCGGGGTAGGTGCAGGGAGTGAGTAACCTCTGGGTAGGTACGTTGCCCATGTGTAGGTGTGACCTGTTCTCGTAGATCCATCCGAGCTCCCCAGGTGGATGCACCCATGGACATGGATACTCCCTGGAGTAGGGAATGCTGTAGGTACAGCCAGACATCCCGCTGTGGGTGGATGTAGGGGATGCACGTTTTCCACAGGCTCCCGAGTTGCTGGTGCCTGGCATCCTTCCCGTTGGAAATCTCAGCAGAAGGAGTTTTTCCTCATAGTGCAAGAACCTTTTGGGGGATGTAGGGGAAATGTCCCTGTCACAAGGGGAACCTCCCACCTCACTCCATCTCCATACCAATGGACTTCCACCCTTTTTCCTCGTTGCTCTAATGTTTCCTCTCCCTGTGGAAGACCCAGGCTGAGGGAGTTTGTCTCCGTAACCACGATCTCCTTCCGTGTGGCTTCCCTGAAACTGGAGTCTCTCCTGGAGACTCCTTGGGAAGGAGCACATCCCTGTAAGGCAGGGTTGTCTGGATCAAGGGCTCCTCCATCCCTTTAGGAATCCCTGCTGTGGGGTTCAGTTCCTCAGTAAAGGACATTTTTCCGCTAAAATCGTGACTCCCCTCCCCAGTGTCTGGAGCCCTCTCCATTTGATATCCTAATTCCATCTCTATTTTTAGAGACCCTCAGGGCATCCATATTTCTCCTCAAATGTTCTTAATGCTTCTGAACTCCCCTCTTATCCCTCTCCATTCTTTTTTTTCTTTTTATGTTAAACCACAGATAGGGTTTTTCTCCCTTCACTCCTCTCCCGAATTCCGTGGCGTCGGATTCCGTCAGTGAGCCGGGGAGGGAAGGGGCATCTCGGTGGGGTCAAACCAGCTCCAATCCCGTATCCCTGCCTGGATGCTCCGAGTCACAGCAGCAGGTGCCTCCCAAGGGCAGGGCAGAGGGATGCCAGGCTTCCAGGAGAAACCTGGCTGCGGGAGGAGCAGCCAGGAGGCTGGTGGAGCAGGAGCCCAGCTGGCTCCTGTGCCGGGTTTGTTTGGGAGCTGCCAATCTGTCTGGTTGCTAAAGGAAGCTGGGTGTGTTGTTGGGGGGGATCTGGGAGTACAGACTGTTCCTTCCCTTGCTTTTCCCTGCTCTCTTGCTTCCCGGTGACTTCAGCCTGTGTTCCAGTGACTCCACAGCGGTCGGGAGGAATTTTATTTACTGGAGCCACAAATCCAGAGTCCTTCCCACTGTTTCTTGGGAAGCCATGGCATAAACCACCGGGCTTGGTGGCCATAAAATCGTTCCCAGGCCTGTGACTGTAACATCAGGCATGTGGAGCTGAAGCATCTGGGGAAAGAAGGTTTAGTGCAAAAATAAGCCTGAAAGAAGCAGATAAATTTCTGTAGTCAGAGCCAATAGAACCTTGCTGAAATAAAGGTAAAGGTCTAGTTAAAATAGATTAAATTTGTAGTGAAACTGTAATTCTTAACAGTGTTTGTCCGGGAGAAGAAAATCTCAGTAGGTTTTTCTCGACCGGTTTACTGTATTTTGTGTGGTTTGTATATTATATTTATATATTTTTCCTGTGTTTTTTCCTTTCCCTGAAATTTTAACACACATTCCTGAAATGCTGCGCCGCCAAATTTCGATTTTGTGGTTCCGAGACAAAAACAGGGTTCCCAGAAAGCAGCAGTGACTCCTTTTTTTTTTTTTTTTCTAACACCACCCTCATTTTAAATCTACTTTTATGCCAGTTTAGTGCTTTACTTACATCTGTCTGCCTTTGGATGCTCGAATTCATTTTCTACCATTTTCCTTGGTAGAGTGTAAAACAGGGAGTAGTGGACTATGGGTAGATAATGTATATAGAAAATATATGTAGATTATATTTTTAAATGTATATAGTGTGTGTGTATATATATATAACACATATATATATTATATATATACACACTATAGGTAGTTCTGGGCTTGTCTCTGCTACCTGCGGGGTGATTCCCTTGAGATCCCAGGGGAGATGGGATGTTGTTGTTCCCTTTGGATCCTTGCTGCTGTTCTGTGCTCTCCAGAAATGGCTGGAATTCCTCATTTTTCCAGTGACACTGGACTTGTGCAGCTGACTGTGCCTGTGGATGTGTCTGTGACCTCCACGGGTGCCTGTGCAGGGGGACGGAGCCGAATCCTGCTTGTCCGGAGCTCCCTCCGGGTATACTGGCCTGAGTTCAGCAGTTCTCCAGACCCTCTCCTGACCCTCCTGCCAGGTTCTCCCACGGCTCCAACATCAGGGAGCTCAAACTGCACAAAATTGCTCCCTTCAGGTTGAGTAGGTTTTCCACGGACACGATTCCGTCCAACGCGGGGCCGAGGAAGAGCCGGGAACGGGGCGGGAGAAGTGTCACGGTGTGCTGGGGTCACACCACGGCACAGGGGCGGGTGGGTGGGGGTGGGAAGGATGGAAAAGCCTCTCCAGCAGCAGCTGGATGCTGCCCTGGCCGGGCTGTGGCACAGATGTGGCTGTGGGAGAGTCAGGAGGTGCGTGGGGGGCTCTGCCGGCCCCGCTCCCGCGGCGAGGGGAACTGAACCGAGGGGCTGAGTAACAGCCTCAGGTGTCCTGGGCTAAACTCACCCCTGCCTGTGAGTCAGGCCCTGAGTCACATGGATTGTTTGCGATTTTGGGTTGAAATGTGGTGTTTTGATGATGAGATGATCGCTCATCAGCTTTGGGGGGGTGGTGGCCACTTGTGTTAATTCCTTGAGCGTTCCTTGATCAGAGCGGCTGAGAGCCACGGAACTTCTGGAAATGTTGTTGTTCGTGGGGTGGGAGCTGCAATTAAGACTCTTAAACTGATGAGTTGGATGATCTCAGCCTTGTAATAACTCTGTGCCCCTCTTTTGCTGAGAGAAGAATCATGGAATCACAGGATGGGTTGGGTTGGAAGGGACCATAAAGCTCATGCAGTTCCAACCCCCCCCCCCATAAGAATAACTTTGATTTAAACAGATGCAGTCCTTGGTTTAATGATTCTGAAGTGCTTGGCAAGCCAGGCTTTGTAGGCAAGTGAGGCTTTGTGACTGCTTGTACCCCACAGTGGGAAGGTTAAACGGCAGCGACTGTGTCGCTGCGAAGTTTCATATGAAGCAAATACCAATTTACAAAGCAAAAGGTTATTTTTCTCCTGTGCCAGCCCCTCTGCACAAAGCCCAGACTGACTCCTTGGGGTTCGAGCTGTGTTCTTTTGCTCCTTAGCAAAGGTTTTAGGCTGGGGAAGGGTTGATTTGCTGGTGCTGCTGGTTCATTGGGTGGGCTGGAGCAGGGCACAGCTTGCTCTTCCAGAGCCAGGGGCTGTGGGAAGGGGTGGCTTTTGTCCGTGGGAGAGGGACAAATAACGAGGTGACACCCTTGTGTAATGTCACTGCTTGAGTAGAACCCTCCTGAAACTCCTGAGCGTGAAACCCCCCCGGTGCAGGGATTGCATCCAGATAAATGCCTGCTGCTCGCTGGACTGGCACATCACCTGACCGGGAGCTGCCA